GGCCTGGATGACTGGGAAGGCACCACCCCCGCCACCACTTAGCTTCTTAGATGCTACCCTTACCCAAACTTCAGTCATAGTGCCGGATGATCCCCCATACTCTCCAGATCCACCCGTTTATCACAGCTTTCCCAACCGTCCTAGTAGCTCCATCACTCATCCTCCAATTACCTCTCCCCAAAATTGCCCTCCTGTCATATCCACTATTCCCAACAATGAATATCCACTCAAAGCTCATGATTCCCAATACTATCCCGCAGAGGTTGCCCACAAGGTTCCTGACTCATACAAGAAGAGCCCTCGGGATGAGCTTCATGCTGAACATGAAAAAGTCACGGGAAAAGAAGGGCGAGACAAGATATTCAGGAAGTTAAAAAGCATAGAACAGTCCTTAAAGAACATGCAAGGGATGGGAGACCAGGTTAACATGTCTTACAAAGAGTTGTGTATGTTCCCTGACGTTCGCCTGCCTGCAGGGTTTAAAGTGTCAAAGTTTAACTTGTATGATGGGTGTGGAGATCCGGTAGCCCATTTGAGGGATTATTGTAGTGAAATGAGAAGTGTTGGCGAGAAAGATGATTTGTTGGTGGAATATTTCAGTGAGAGCTTGACTGGGACAGCTTTGGAATGGCATAATCGTCAAGATGTCGGTAAGTGGCATACATTGGGCGACGTGGCTCAAGATTTTGTGCGACGCTTTCAGTACAATATAGACATTATCCCAGATCGCTCCTCCCTATCTCAGATGGAAAAGAAACTCAAGGAAAGTTTTAGAAATTTCTGGCTCATATGGAACGAACAAGTCGCTCGGGATAGTCCTCCCATTGATAGAAAAGATGTTGTTGAGCCCCACCGACGACAGGGTCCAGTGGTCATTCTTGCTAAACGCTTTCAGCCTCAATGTCGACTCCGTGGATATCCTTTCAATCCTCCCCACTGCTACTTCTCTCCACAGAACCCCCAAAATCGTACATCACTTCCCCGATACCCCGTTCACAATGCACCACCATATGCTCCATATCCCCGAGGCCCACACCACTTCCACAAATGTCTTACTCACCCCCTAAGGCATATCAACCACCTGCCCGCAAAAGGTTCCACCCGAGGCCAGAGTATAAAATGAAAAGACTACTGAAAAAAGAAAAGGCTTTCACCCTATTGGAGAATCGTATGCCAGTCTATTCCAGAGGCTGAGGCAATTGGACATGTTGAAGCCGATTCAGATAAAAATGTCAAACCCTCTTCCAAAGAAGTTTGATTTTTCTCAAAGGTGCGCATATTGCTCAGATGCCCCGGGGCATGACATAGAAAAGTGTTGGCATCTGAAAGGAGCAGTCCAAAAGATTATTGATGCAGGTGACATTACCGCGCAAAATCCAAATGCAGCAGATACTAGCCAAATTCCATTGCTTGAGACGCATATGGAGGACATGACTTGTGTGGAAAAGGAATATGAGAACTATTCCGAGATCCTCGGAAGGCCAGTTGCCGCAAAGCTTTTAGCGCTATCACTCTTGGTTCCGAAAGTTGATCATAAGAACGAGCCGGCCAAAGGGACCCAAAAGCAATTTGCTAAGGATAATGAGATGTAGACTTGTGAAGGTTCTAGCAATGTTGATGTTGAACTCAGTGGCTAAGATGCAGAGCTGGGTAATTAGAAAGATGCCCCTCTCTTGGCTAGCTGGGGAGGAGTCTTGGCGGTTTATTTTGTTATCATTTCTATTGTCCGGGTGATTTCAGGGCTGTAATTCGGATATTGTCTTGTGACTCAACTCTTTTATCCTTTTATTTTGCCTGGTTTGTTTAGTCGTAGTAACTTGTTAGGTGTTGTCTAGGTTTGTTCCAGGGTTGTAACCCCAGTTTAGTTTGCTTGTTTTGTTGTTCGGACCATTTCACCGTCTGTCTAATGCAATTTCTTGTCTTCTTTTATTTCTAGTCATTTTTTGTTTAGTTCTTTTCTCCTTTTTAGTTCCTTTTCTACTGGCTCTAGTGACATGACACGCACGCATAATTCTAGGCCTGGTCTCAATAGTTAGTTTAATCATGGGGCAATGAAATAATTTTGAAGATAATAGGGACATTTGAGGGAAATAAATATAGATTTGGACATTTTGAGATCATTTGAAGCCCGAACCGTGTGAAACTGGGGCAGATAATTTTGGAAGTTAATAGGATGGCAAGAATTCGTTAAAGGAAAGTACATCCCGGACGATTTGAAGCAAGCATCTTTGAGTTCGAGTGCATCTCAAGTTACAAGATAAAGTCAAGGAAGTTCTTTCCGAATTGATGGAGGATATCCATTGTGAAGAGGGAATCACCCAACGAGGGTTTTGTACATGACAAGGCGCTAAAGAAAAATGGAAGGCATATCAGTGATATCAATGTCGAAGATGCAAAAAAAATATTGTGCATGATTTTCAATTTTCATTTCAAGTTGCATGTGTTGTACTTGGTATTTTCAGGGATTGAGAGGCCCTCTTTCAGCTACCCAAATACTTATACCATTTGATACCCTTTTGAGCATGTACTAATTTTTTTGACCTCCCCTCTTTTGGAATCAAGTTAGAGTCAAAAAAAAAAAAAAAAAAAAAAGTTCATGTCCCCATAGGTTTATTTTAGAAAGTTCATTTCAAAAGGAAAATTGTAAAAAAGAAAAGAAAATAGAGAGAAAAAAAAGAGAAAAAAAAGAGAGAAAAGGAAGGAAAAGAAAAAGGAAAAAAAGAGAGAAAGGGAAAATAGTGACAAAAAGTAGCGTTGTGAACTACGTTTGACCTGATTCTTATCACCACAAGATACGTAGGCAGCCTCACGGTTCGGTCATACCAAATAAAATATTTCATAATCCTATGAAGTCGAGAGTGGGAGATTCAAAAAAAAAAAAAATCAAGTTCCCTTATTTTAGAAATTGGGGCAAAGTGTTTAGAATGGATTCCAAAAGTTGTAAATAAGTTAACCCCGTTGTCTTAGTTATTTAGAGCCTTTTCGATATCTTTTCTTTCTACCCCTGTCCAAAAGCCACATTACAGTCCAAAAAATACCTCCCGGATAATCTTTGAGAGTACTGAGTTTAGACATGCCAAGAGTATATGATGTTTTACCATGGTTAATGCCTTGTCATCTGCAGAATCAGAAGAAATAAGAAGAAAAAGAACAAAATAAGAGAGTCTTATTGGTGAAAACCTTCACCAACACCATAAGCCGACGGTGAGTCGAGAGAAATAATAAAATGAGAGAGACTTGGTGAAAACCCCTCGGGCACTACAAGTCGAATAAGGATCAGGAATCAGATTGGATAATCGGAGCATTAAAGCCCAGTTTCACGGCGAAAAGGCACAACAAGAATTGAACATCAGACTTGCTTGACGGATTAGGCCACTTACTCCAAAGGTGCATGTCATGGTCATTAGAGTTGGTATCCACATCTGATAAGTTTCTACTTTGTAGTTTTCTTGTTAGGAATCGTCTCGTTCCATTGTCCTTTACTCTGTTTTTTTTTTTGTCTTGTTTACTTCCTCTTTCTGAGTCTGTTTGGGCAGAACAAGTGAGAAATGACTTGAAAATTTGTCACCATCTTTCCAATTGCACAAAATGGGATCTGGCTAGCATAACAAAGTGGCATAAATCAGGAAAAGAGCAGCAAGCGCACTGAGTTGGTAACAATCAACGTGCTTTGAGATTCATGTGAAATACAAATAATCGGTATATGTCAATTCATGAACAATGCAACAGATAGAGGGTGTTGGGTTGGAACGGATCAAAGGTATTTTCTATGATAAAATCAATAAAAGAAAGTGGTTAACCAGTGACAAGCAAGGTCTTCCAAGCAAAAATCAAAGTTATCATGGCAAGTGATGGAGCAATAGACCTCAAGGCCAAGGCCAGTGGTTTAAGTCAAGAAGGAACAACATGCGCACTGAGCGGGTGGCAATTGACGTGCTTTGGGATTCATGTGAGACACAAAGGTTTGGTAAATGTCAGTTCATGAGCAATGCAACAGATAGAAGGTATTGGGTCTGAACAGAGAAGAGGTATTTTCTGTGATACGGGTGACAAAGAAAGTGGTTAGTCAATAAACAAGTAAGGTCTTCGAGTGGAAATCAAAGTTATCGTGGGAAGTGAAGGAGCAATCTCCCTCAAACCAACCACCATATTTTTAAAACTAACAAGATTTTTCTTGATTTGAAATAGGGGCAGAAAATTTCGTTTGTTTCGAAGAAACCCTCCGTAAGGAAAAGCAAATACCAGAATGGTTTGACCGTAAATTCTCAGGACCCTCCTGAAAAATGGAACCTAGTTTAAAATTCAAAACAATTATGAGTAGCAAAATCTAGCATAAATGTACCCCAAAGGAATATAAATTGGCTTCAAAGTTTTCATACTTGAGATAGGATTCAATTAAGAGCTTTCAGGACCCTCCTGAAAAATGGAACCTAGTTTAAAATTCAAAACAATTATGAGTAGCAAAATCTAGCATAAATGTACCCCAAAGGAATATAAATTGGCTTCAAAGTTTTCATACTTGAGATAGGATTCAATTAAGAGCTTTCAGGACCCTCCTGAATAATGGGACTTGGCTTTAAGATTTCTATTAGACAACAAGATTTATCATAAGTTCTGTTGTAGGGCAGTATAATTCAACCGTAAAAGTTGTCCATCTTAGGATAATACTTGCTTTTTGACTTTCAAGACCCTCCTGGATAATGAGATGTAATTTTAAGACCTTCTTAGATAACCAGATTTAGCGGAAATCATACCTTTAAAAAACATAATTCAGCTTTTAAAAAAAACTGTCATTTAACTAGGAGTTGTCAGGACCCTCCTAAATAATGAGATCTAGCTTTCAAATTCTTGAAAATATTCAATAAACAATCACGTATGTGCCCAGCTACCAAACTGGGGCAAAAAGAAAAATTTTGTTTTGCCATTTTGAAATCAGGCGCCCACCTGGAGAGCACGGGAATACAGTTCAAGTTCAGCAATCAGGCGCCCACCTGGAGAGCACGGGAATACAGTTCAAGTTCAGCAATCAGGCGCCCACCTGGAGAGCACGAAAATACAGTTCAAGTTTGGTAATCAGGCGCCCACTTCACCTGCCTACTAGTATTCAAAAACAAACATGCATCAGAATTAACTAAACACCAAAATCTTCATTGTCATTCCTCAAACTATCTGTTCAAGATTTAATTTATACAAACTGACACTATAATTAGTATAGCTTAACTTGTACTTTAGTATTATCCTACTTTTCAAGTTACAAATCCACAGCTACCATTTGGTTACTACGATTATTTTTAAGTAATTCAATAGTTTAAAAGTTCTTTTCATTATTCATGTATAAAAATTCTATTCCATCAATCAACGCTATGTTATTTTTTTCCAACCTGCAGTGTTTTATGGTAACTGATCAATTTTAGTGTAATAGCTTGTTTGGTCAAGTTTCTAAAATCAGCTTATTTAAGAAATGTTTTTCCTCAAAATTGCTTTTTTTCAGAAGTATTTTTGGTGAGAAACGGTTTGTATTTGGTTAATTAATTTGAAAAACACTTCTGAGCAGCAATTAGTGTTTGGCCAAAGTTTTAAAAAGTGGTTCTAAGTGTATTTTTCTCAAAAGTGCTTTAGGGAAGAAGGTACGCTTTTCTGCTTCTTTAAAACTGTTTCTACTTCTACTCAAAAACAATTTTTTTCTTCTAAAAGCTTGGTCAAACACTTCAACTTTGAAAAAAAAAAAAAATAGTTTTAGGTTTGGAGAAGCTTGGCCAAAAATGCTATAAGTGTTGCACTAGTTTCCATGTTTTGACAGCAATGCTCTATAATTGCATTCTGGGAAACATAAAACTACATGAGGATTATTAGTACTGCCTTGTTTGGTTACCAAGAAAACTGAGCAAAAAGGAAAGCTTTTTCTTGTGTTTTCACAAGATTAGAAATCCTCAACAGTGACATGACCCAACAATCAACTTCCACATGCATTTCTGGGAAATAAAAAAGCACATTTTTTTCATGCTTTTTGACAAAAAAAAAAAAGGTTACAGTAAAACTGGTTTGAGCTTTTCAAGACTCCAACTTTCCCTCCTATCCATTACTAATTCCACTGGAAAACACAAATTTCCTTTGAATCAATTAAGCTGCTATATGCAAAAGTAATCACCTAATCAAAAGGAAGAAAATCATAAAACTGTCACAAAGACCAAGTCCCTGAGCAAGAAAAAATACAGAAAATTTTTCCTAATAACTTAATGTAACATAACAGGGTAAGCAAGAATACACCATTTTTGTGACTCTGAAGCTTATAAAACATGATATAACAAAACCCATAAATGAGCGCAACAGGAAAAAAAAATGAGACAAAAAACACATAGAGGACAAAGTTGCACTATGTACCAACCTTACCCCACATAAGTTAAAATGCTTCATAACTCCATTCCACAAAAAGGGTGTCAAAAAGTTTAAAAAGTGTTTGTTACGTACAAAACAGTGCTAAAAGGAGAACTAAAAACTTTGGAAAACAAGGAATATCATCTGTGTATTCGGTTCTAATTCTGAACATAGAGGATATGAACGAGCCAGAGCAAGTTGATCTGATGATGTTAGTGGAGGTATTATACAGGAAACCAAAGAGGAACATAGCCAGCCAAGAAAATCCTACTGGTTTACCTCCCAGCATATATAGAAATTACAAAGAAAATTATCTTTTGATAAATCTGCATCTTCTTGATGCCTTATCAATGTTACTTCTTTAAAACAAAGAAAATTATCTTTCGTTATTAAAGGGATTGTAGAAAAATTGCACATTGCTGCAACATGGAATTCTTAGTAACTAATCTGCCAATACAAATAATGAGACTACAAAACAGAACATCACACCACAACGGCATTAAGGAAAAGCATATGAATAAGGATGATAAACATACCTCAGAAAAGGATCTTCCAAGAGAATGCTACATAGATGTGTTTTCGGGTAGAATTTAGAGGAAGGTCCAGAACTCAAGCCAGTGAATCCATATATGACTTAATATTCATAATATCTTCTTTGGACTTTGGATTACTTTGTGGTTTGAAAAGCTTCCACATTCCCACTGGATGTCGACTTCTCACTTCAGCATTTCTTGCAAATCTTCCATATATTGCTTCACACTCTGGATAAGGCTTGCAATATAGATTATAAAATTTCATTCTACTAGGTTTAATCAACTCCCTCAACCCCACATCATCATCAAGTCCTCCTATTGCTCTTAAATAGTCAATTACCTTGAATCTTGGTAGAATATGTTTCTAGAAAATTCACCCCCAGGTACTCTAAAACTTCAAAAAGACACTGAATATCAACTTTCATCACGTGCAGTGTTATCAAAGGCGAAAAGCGCAAAAAAATTATAAGGTTGGTTGGAACTTTAAGCGCAAAGTGCAAATAAAGCGTGGGCTTTAATGAAAAAAGGCACAGCCGGAGAAAAAGTAAAAATATGTATTTATAGTCCAAGTCTAATAATTATAAGCATGAATAACAAATATATGGACAAAGAAATTAAAAAAAAAAATTACGATAAAGTGAAATATCAATAGTTTAATGTCGTCTTTTCAGGATTACAATCATCGGTAAGGAAAAGTATGTCTTAGAGCCTTGATACGACACTAAAGCGCCCACAAAGCGAGGGGAAGCACTCAACATGTGTTGACCCCCACTTTAGGGCTTAAGCGCGCCTTTAACAACACTGATCACGTGCATTAAAAACTGAATCTTCTTCTCAACATCCTCTACGTGATAGAGTATCACTCTCGGCTCTCTCCATAACACAGAATAAGCACCCCTTAAGGTTAAACCATGATCGCCAATCAACCCTTAGTTTCACCTCGGACCCAGTCTTAAAAGCCCTCTCATGAAAAATATCCTCCTTAATAGACTCCCTACATTCCAAACTCTTAAGCAGCTCCAAACACCGCGATAACTCCCCAACTTCCAATGCAAGAATTCTGGGATCTCTCAGGACATGTTTCTTGACCACCTCCATGTTAAAGCCTTGAACTTTAAATTCATCAAGCAGTCGCTTAAATTTATTTTGAATCCCAAAGGCCAAAACACCTGGATAGATGTAGAGAATGCGATCAAATCCAAAATTGTCAATCCTAAAGGCATCAACAACAAATTCAACAGTCATGATCCTTGTCTGCAGACATCATAGTAACCGTGGGATGTGTCTCCAAAACCTTCTTTTCAGAAATATCACTAACCCCTAAATCTTTGAGGCATTTCAGAGACCCCAAAACACAATCATAAGACCTCCAAAATATTCTCCACAGCCAAGGAGGATTAATTGGACCCCTCTTCTAATCCTCGGATGCCTCCTTCGCATTTCATTATAGCATCATATTCTAGAACCCTGGGCCAACTATTTATCACGGACACAAGGAATTCTTGAGATGGCTTCAAGGATAATAGAATCTTAAGAGACTTTTCAATTTTGGTGGGGTCTAGTTTTGTAAACAGCGATTCTTCTCAAGAAAATTCGGAAGTTCTAGAGCTGGAAAACCATATCTTTTAAGAAGACTTGACACCGCAACGAGATTTCTTTGCGGGGAATTTTCTTGGAACTGTGGAGGATAACTCGGGATATTCATTTTGCAACTCCTGTTAGTGCAAAATAAGCGGATACTTGGATTTGGAATCAGAGTAGAGGATTGGAAAATGACGTGAATAAAGATCAGATAATCGTAATGGTCATGGTTTCAGCTCAGTGTCTGATCAATCATCCGCATTCAAACATCGCATTGCTGGCCTGAAACAATTGACTACTCTCTCTCTCTCTCTCTCTGTGTGAAAACATGAACTGCACATTTAGCTAGCCTGAAACACGTTTGAATTGGATCTTTCCACCTAGTTCTGCAGTTTAGTCACATATTACCTCAACACCGCACCCCCAAACTAGGAATACCATGACTTCCACATTCATGGAGATTCAGTGATTCACATAATAATCCATAAATTCAGAAACTTGCGGTATTAGGGTTTAAAGACTGAAAATTTGCTTCGACATTCTGAAAATTCAAAAAAGAAGCATAGAAATTGCAAAACTCCGATTTAATTATTTATACAACAAAATAATTGCAAAAATAATAGATTATAAAATACGATGAATTACCTTGATCCGAACTGCGATAGGGAGAAGAGAAAAGCAGAAATGCAAGCCTTTGGCAAAAGAAAAAAAAAAAAGGAAAAAGAAATGGAAATGATAACACTACCTCGTATGAAAATTACTAGATAGGCGTTGGCCCGTGGTAGCACGGGCCAACAAATTGAACTTAGAAACGCACTTTTAATGTGTGTGGTGAAAAATTTTATTTCAATTAAGTTAGAATAGATTATATAGTTTGGTATGTTTATCTTCATATGCAATTACTTAGTCAAAGATGAAATTAAGCGTTATTAAAATAAGGTAATTACATGCCACAATTTTCAAAGGGCAAAAAATTAATAGTAATTACATGCTGACATTTTGAATTCTTATTTTTTTCTAAAGTATATTAATAAATAAATAAAAAAAATTTTCTTCTCACATTTAACTCTGGAAACGTTCTTTCTTGCTCCTAAATTTCCATTTTCATTGCAGGTACACATTCCTCTTCTTGCTGTTGGTCTCTATACATTTGTCTTCTTACTATTGGTCCTTAATATTTGTGTAAAGTCTTTGTGTATAAAATTAGTTTATATTCATCCTTAGTCAAAGTTATAGATTTTAATTCTTTTTTTTATAGCTGCATTCGGAATTTTTGTGTCCAATCTTAATACTCCTTTTTCTTAATTCTCCTTTTACTCTTAATTTCTTCTTACATTTTACCCAGTTTTTCTTTTTCACCTTATGTCATAATTTAAATGTCTATTTTTTTTGATTTTTTTTTTGTAATTGTCTCTCCTCTTCTATATTATTAGAAAAGTTAAATCAGTAATAATATTATTAATTTGCTCAACTAATCAAATAGCTCCGTAATACTTTATCTTAAAATATTAAAATGCTACATATTGCTCCAGTTCTTCATATTACTATCGTATACCTATTCATTTTATTTCTATTAACCAATTGTTGAGTAAATAATATCTGGCTTTCGAATAAATATATTCTGTTGCTTCTAAAGTATTAAGTTTTGTACTTGTTCATTTAATGAAATTTATAAAAAAAAAAAAATAATTTAAAAATCATATTAATTTTCTGTGTAATTTAGAAATTAGTCAAAAATGATCTTAAAATAAAATTTGATAATCAAATATTTGAAATTAATAAATTAATAAGCTGGTCCATGTCAATTTCTTAGACTCATTTTACATGTATTGGAGAGAGTGTAATACAATTTTCTACATTATAATTCAGTGGTGAATTTATCTGAAAAAATAATTAGTAGTTAATTATATTTTAAAGTATGTTTAAGTTAATAAATTTTATTATGTTTTTATTGAATCTAAGTAATTGTACAATAGTATATTTTAATGAAAAAGAGATAGTTTAATATTGCATAATGATATGATAATATTAGAAGTAATAAAATTGTAGTGTTCTTTTATTATTTTTATCAGCAAGTAGGTTAATTACAAATTTAATATGATTAATAAAATAAAATTTCCTTTTTTTCTACTTGAAAAATATTGACGCCATTTGTGGTTATTTAACAAAAGACTTGATGGAATTTTTTTAAAAATAATAAAAATAGTTATATAATTTACATGTAGTGATAGTTCACTTGATATTAATCATCAAATTAGAAGCTAAAATATTAATATGGATTTATGCAATTACTAAATAATGACAGTTGCAATTAAATGAATTGTTGGAAAATGCAGAGGTGACACAATTTGGGTGGGAATGGCACGTGGGGCCCACATGGGGAGGTACAAAGTAAGGTAGCGGCTACTGTAAGAAGTGTGTACTATGTAGTGACAGACAATGACACAAGCAAAGGACAAATTAGTCAAGATACCCAAACATTTATACAGCAGCTACAATAATATTCTTTTTTAGCCTATCATAAAATTTCATTTTAATTGAAATGACCAAATTATCCTTGAAATCCCAAGCACACATGTCGTCCAGCTGTGTGCTTACTCCCTCTTATAAGATAGAAGAATCCGTGGTATGTTTATACCATTATTTAAACAATTGCCCCAAAACCTTTTTAAATAGAGAAACAGTATCATTTGTTTGGTTTTTGGTACAAAATTGACCCATGGCTGTTAAAATAATGGCTCAATTTTGCCCCTCCAAGTTAACAGTGTCAAACAACTTTAATCCACTTTTTCCGACTTACGTTTATGTCCAGCTTTAGGGGTTTTTAACTTCTTGTATATAATTTTTTTTCTCCCTGGTAATGAAAATGAAGCATTTACTAGAAAAAGTAGCGTATATTAAACACAATTCAGGAAAGAAAAATGAAGTGTAAAAGACTTTCCATGAAATATGAATGTATCATAGGGATTTCGATACAAGTTCAGAGGCCAAATTATGTATTAAGCCATATTTTTCTATTATTTATTTGTGTAACTTATTTTAGTACAATGCAAAAAATTTATTAAAGGTCAATTTAAAGCATAGCTCAGAGCAAATATATAGCTCAAAATTGGAGGTAAGTGGCTACATTTGCATGGTTAGTGTAGTTTGCTTGCAGAACTTTTGATTACGAAATTGTGATGTAATACAGGAGTACTATATCTATTTTATTTTGAAAAACTGATATTGTATAGTTATTCTCAAAATAATAGTCGGAATATATATA